AATAGTAATAATATATGTAAAATACTTTGCAAACTTTAAAGCACTCTGTAAATGTTAGCTCTTCTTACTATTATTCCCATCTTATAGTTGAGGCAACTGAGGTTCATAGAGGTTCAGTTATGAGTTATATGACCCTGGTCAAGTCAATGACAAAACTGGGACTTAAATTTTCTTCTAATCTTAAGCATAGAACATCATACTATACTCTACTACAACTCTAAGATACCTGTTGATATTCTTTTCAACTACAACCTCTAGACATGATCTTGCCCTTTGCTCTATAGATATTGTCCAATTCAATTACCTAATAAGGCATTTGAAGCTAAACAGAATAGTGGATCCTATTGGAAGAGTCAACTTTGGAATAAAAAGGTGAACTTGCCTCCTTAGAATTACAGAATAATTTTACTGTTGCTCTGCATCATCTTCAGTCTTGACAGAAGTCTAGAGGAAATATGTGTAGGATAGATTGAGTTAAAGGGGAATCTTAATGTGGTTCTTTGAAGAAAAAGAAGCAAATAAGTATCTTGCCCTTCCTCAGTGTTCTGTCTCCTCAAATCCTTGATATCCTAACTAAACTCAGTTTGGTGATCTCATTGGAACTATCTAGATAATTCTAATAGCTATGGCCAAACAGAAGTAATGACCCAAAGGACTCTAGATTTAGGTATGGCCAAGAATAACATTGCAATAACTAGAGTGCATTCTAGTTATGCCTAGGGTCTGGGCCTTCTCCTTAATACCAAATTCTGGAATGAGTCTTGGAGAAGCTTCCTGCATCCGTGATAGATTTTCCTTAGTAGACATTCTCTGCCTTTGTCTGGTACAGAGAAATCCTGGCCTGGAGTTTTGTTTAGGAGTCTGGTCAGAAATCTCTGGTTCTGAGGAATTGAAAAGCATACCAGCAGTGTGGGTATACAGTTTTGGTTTTATAGACTCTCAGTCCACATTGGAGATATGTAAAGGTTAGTGTCTTCCCCAACAGAATGCAAGCTCTTAAAAAGTAAGGATTGCTTTACTTGTTGTGTTTGTATCCTTAGATCCACCACAGTACTTGGCCATAGTAGGTGTTTTATAAATGCTGATCAAGTCCTCTGAGTTCTCCAGTTTCTGTACTTTGTTTAGATTATTTTGGCCATTATTTTGGTGGCCAGAAGAGGGCAGGATAGAGCTTTGTTTTATTGTAGGGTACAGTATTTAAACATTTTAATTGCATGAGGTTGATATGTAAATTTCTCTGCTTCTCTCCAAAGCCAAAATAATTTTATTTGAATCCTATGTTTTGAACTTCCATCAACTTTTTTGGTCTAACAGTAAGAAAACAGTAAGAAACAGTAAGAAAAATCATCTATATGGGATGTCATGAAAAACCATCATCTTATTTGCTATATGTGTTTGACCTCCCAGTATAGTCAGCACCCTTCCTCAGGTCTATGAGCTATGTATCCAAATTGCCTCACTAATGCTGTCAGTGGGCCAGTGCAAACTGGCGGCATCTGACTGCTCCCAGACATATGTTCCACATCAGTCTGGTCCTTGTTGAATGGCTGGCTACAGGCCAGCACATCTGCAGGTAATACAGGCTGACTTCTCAGGCCAGATGGAAAACCTCGAGGCCAATGGTGGGGTGGTAGAAATCATTTCACAAAAGAGAAGACTCATCCAAATTTTGGAAACCTGTTTCATCCAGAGTCTCCCTCCTAAGAATGTTACTTTCCTTAGGAAATCATATGCCCCTTCATTGTATCTGAGACAAACTTTTCTTTTTCCCCAGGAGATATGCCTCAGATCCCGTTTAAAAAAAAAACAACAACAATCTCCTTTATAATTACTGATGACCCTTATGCCTGTGAGCCTTGAGTGAGGGAAACAGGTCAAGTTTTAGGACATATGGGCATGTGGTGATCAAGGCAGAAGGGTAATTAAGGTATACATGTATAAGGAAATGGGATAGTTCCCTAGCTTTGTTTTTCAGTCTAACCATGTAATTACACATGCTTTATTTTTTTTCTTTTTTTTGTTTTTTGCTGGGCAATGGAGTTAAGTGACTTGTCCAGGGTCACATAGTTAGTGTCAAGTGTCTGAGATCAGATTTGAACTCAGGTCCTCCTGATTCCAAGGCCAGAGCTCTATCTACTTTGCCACCTAGCTGCCCTCACATGCTTTATTTTTTAAAAATTAGTTTTTGACTAGGCAATCCAAATGTTTAGCTCCTTTGTACTTTGGGACCCCAGACTTATTTGATGGGTATAGACTGCAAAGCTAGTGTATTTTATGCATGTTCCTTCATTTTCTTTCCATCCAACATTGTTGGAGCAGCTGTAAATCAGAAAGTAGTCAAAAAGTCCTTACATGTAAAGCTCAGAGGCATATCAGAGGATACAGAAGAGAGGTTTTTTTCCTGGATGAATGAACATTATAGCCCTCTAAAGAACCATGGGAATCAGATTTGTGTTTCAAGGCTCTTCTATATCAATCCTGTTCCCCTGCTAAAGATAAGAGATTTTCCTCCTACTTCCAGAAAGCTGAAAGTTATGCAAAGAATTCCCAAATAATCAGCATTGTTGATTATGAGGCAGGAGTAGAGTAATTGAGCTGGTGTGATCCCTGGATTTTTGTCTTCAATTAAATTTAACAAGCATTATTAAGGACCTATTATGGTATCTGGTTAATGTGTAAAGAGAGGGCCAGCCTTGGATTCAGTAAGACCTGCGAAGACTCAAATCCTGAGTCTGAAACATGCTACGTACCATGGGTAAGACATTTATTTTTGCAGGCTCCAGGCAATTCTCTAAAACTATGACTTACGGAGCCTTCTGTTTGTAGAAAGAGTTTTCACATCAGGAGATGTTCCCACAACCAAAAAGTCCCATGCAGATCTGGGGAGGGAAGTGTAAGGTACTAAAGTCCAGGGATAATAAAACGAAAAGTAGTTCTTGCCTTCAAGAACTGCTGGGAGAGGGGCTGGGAACAGAAGATATAATCTCTACACAGCAAATTAAATTCAAGATGATTTGAGAAGGGAGACAGTAAGAAAATACCAACAATTTAGGGTGGGCTGCCAGGTGGCAAAGTCTATAGCACTCTGGGCTTGGAATCAGGAATACTCATCTTCATGAATTCAGATCTGGTCTCAGTCACCTACTAGATGTGTGACCCAGTGCAAGTCACTTAACTCTCTTTGCTTCATTTTCCTCATCTGTGAGATGAATTGGAGAAGGAAATGGCAAACTACTCCAGTATCTTTGCCGAGAAAACCCCAGGTGGAGTCACGAAGAGAAAGACATGACTGAAACTGAAAAAACATCAACAATTTAGGGGACCAGAAAAAGTTTCCTATACAATTTGTTCCTTGAATAGAATCTTGGAGGAACGTAAGTATTCTAAGAGAAGTAGGGGACAACATATGCAGAAATACAGAAGAAGGAGAAGGCTAAATAGACCAGTTTGGCCTGAAATTCATGAAGGGAGAATAACCTGAAACAAGTTTGGAGGGATACTGTCAAGCCAGGTTGTGAAGATCTGTAAATGCTAAGGTGAGGAGTTTGGGTTTTATCCTAAATGCAGTAGGGAACCCCTAAAGATTCTTGAGCAGGTGAATGATATTGTTAGACCTATGCTTTAAAAAGATTGTTTTGGCAGCACTGTGCAGGATGGATTGAATCTTGCACTTTTGTAGAATAGTCAAGATTTTCCTGCAGTGAAAACTTTTGGCTGTGCTTAGGATATCATCTTTGGAAACTTTCACTTCCAAGCACCATATCTGGGTTATAATATGCACATAGGAAATAGATCTTGTTAGCTCGATCCTAGTCATTCCCTGGGAGGATAGAGTTAGGCCCACATAATAAAAATGTATTTGCTTTTTCCACTGGAATATGTCTGTTCGTAAGTATGCCTTGATTTTTTAAAAGGCATTTTCTAGTGAGTAGTAGTGTTGGTAGCTTGGAACAGGACCCTTCACTGTTTTTCAACATTATAATCCTAACCTAGAGACTTTCTTTTTTAGAATGGATTCTTATTTTTCTCAACCTAACACTCACTCCCTGCCTCCTCTTCCTTCCTTCTGCTTCCCTTCCCCCTTCCCCCCCAGCCCCAAGCAGAACATATTTAGATGAAGATTGTATTTAGGGCTTCTAGATCTGGACAGAAAATAGTATACAACCATATATAAATCTTGAGAAATCAGAAGGACCTAAAGTAGAGTTGAACAGAGTAACTTCTAGAGAGATTGCTTGCTCTGTGGTAACAGGCTTTTCAGTGGTGGAGTTTCTGCTTCACACTGTCAAGGGACATAGTGGTAAAAACACCAGAGTTTTAGAGTTGAGAAAAACTTTGGAACCTGAAAAGGTTGGGGTGAATGTTGATGTTTCCGAGAAAGCATCTGTAATATTTCATGACTGAGTAATGGATCCAAAAAAAGAATTGGACTGGCACATAAGTATAATGGGAGTTGATCAGAAGAGTCTTATCAAATTGATAATCACCTCAGTAAGACTGTGGTGGGGTGGGGAATGTATCTTTGTTAGAAAAGGGGTATCTCCCAAGGAGGTAGACTTCTGTAAATCCTTGCTGAGAAGATAAAATAAACTTTTCTGATTAGTTCCCTGTGACTATAGCTGTCTGTAGGATGATCGGGGAATGAGTCTTCATGTATTTGTATCCCTAGCTCCTACCTCTTACTAAATACTTTTTGTTTAAGTAAAGAAGGGAAAAATGAGCCTATTTTCTTAATGCAGTAAGTCTAAGAGAAGTTTCTGTCCTTTCTTTATTGCTGCTGTGGTTCCAATCCTAGTAGATATTCCCACAGTTAGCCTGCTCCCACCCTTCCTGTGTCCCCTGAACTGAGCAGGCACTTCCTGTTCATTTCAAGCTGAAAGTTGGAGATTGGGGGGTGGGGTATATGTGGATATTTTCTTCCGTTCACTAGTGCTGTCTATCCCACAATCATGACAAAGAGGTAAGAAGAAAACTAGAACATGGACCAAGTCAAAAGGCAGGCAACCACTTATGCAACTTGGGCTTGGTCATCTCCTCAGGAAAGGAAAGACAGGGATTAGGTTAGGGTATGCCCCAAGGGAAAGTTATGAGGTCTGCAGGGTGCCCTTATGAAAGTATTTGAAGTGGCCCCTGTCCAAGTGGCCCAAGTAGGAGGGTACTGGGCATTAATCTATAATTCTCGTACTTTCCCTAACTAGTCTACAAGTGAAACTACCATTTTCTTTTGTCAAATACTTCGATACAAAGACATTCTTGTGAGGTTTGGGAATCATAAGAGGTGAGTGCTGCCTTAACCTTCTTGGATCTTTGACTCACAAAGTTCATATTCTGCTGATCTTAACAGGGATTTTCTTACTCTGTACTATGTAATTTTAAAATAGTGATTTTTCTTCACAGTTCTGCTGACCTCTTGGAGGAGACACCTCAAACCTGTGAAAGTCAATTTTGGCTCCAACTTTAGTGAGTATTTATTTGGTGAGATATTTATACCTATTTCAACTACAATTTTAAAACTGTGGGCTAGGGGAAGTATCAGAGAAAAAAGTGTCAGTTTTTTGTTACTAGATAGAGACACCAAGTTTTTGTGATAGAGGCTAGCCTGATATGGAAATTTCTGATAGAACCATAGCTGAGCATGAAGTGGCAATGCTGGGCATTAGTACAGCTATATTATACATCAGAAAAATGCATCTGCCTGAGAATTTTTAGTTATTAAGTGGGAGGAGAAGCCTTTTTTCATGTTTGGATCTTGGCCACTCTCTCTGTATGTTTTCCCCTTTACCTGCTCTTAGCTTCTATTTTCTTACAGGAAGAGTTAGTGAGTTATTGGGGTCACTTTGAATATAAGGCATAGGAGAAGCCCTCGGCCACCTTGCTTTTCTCAAGATAGCTGTTGGCAGCCTGTTCCCCAGAGTTGTGTCCCAGTTGTCACCTATAAAGTCAAGAAGCAACTCTAGTGAAACTCTTCCTTGTAGCTGAGTGCTTTGAACATAATATACTCATTCTGCCCTTTTCCCTTTCAGAATAAGAACTTGGTCCCTGAAGAAAGTCTTAAAAGGAAAAGTACTTTGAAATAGTGGGGTCTAGGTATAGAAGAGATTAATATAACCCCTTCTTTCTAGAATTACCTCTTCCCCCTCTGTTTTTCTTTTTTAAAAAAAATTTTTGGGCATTAGGACCCAGTGGAAGTATCCCAGCCAGGCTCTGGGTTTACTTCCCTTGGTGACGTAAACCAGCTGCCCTAGCTCTACCATCCCCCCCC